TCACAAGTGATTTCTTTTATTAGACTGGGTTTATTTCTTAAATCAAGGCATCATCAACTTAATACAGTTTGTTTTCTTCTCATTGCAGGGGGAGATCGATCTCTTTGAAAAGTTTGGAAGGTTAAACCACAAAATGTCCAGCCTGTTTAGATAAATAATGCAGTATATAGCTAACAGAAAATCCTACGAAACAACTTTCATCATACATCTTTTTGTCACTTTGAGTCTCTGAAACTTTTTTTTTACCATTTTGCACGTATTTGTATTGAATTTCTTACATACTTACATGCTTTTTGAACAATATTCCAGACCTTATAACTGTGTACCTTTTTTTTGCCTGAAAACAAAATTTTTTGATACAAATTATTGAATATTTACATTTTTTTGCATAATTCATAAACTACCTTATACTATAATTCATATTTACATCATTTTTACTTTGAATAAACTTTTTTGTCCTGTTGATTATTTTCTCTTGTTTCTCCTGAAAAATTCTTTGACATTTATATCCAAATGTGAAAATCAAATTAAGACAGACGAGACGTTCCTTAATAATAAATAAATTTTTCTAAGAGTTTGTCATTGAAGTATTGCTACTTAAACATGTTTCCTCACAAAAAATTGAGGTACCTTACCAGGCATTTCTGCAAGATACGAGGGGTAGTTTTTCTTATATAATCCTTTGGGGAAGAAAAATAATTTTCCAATTTCAAATGTTTAAGTGTTTGGATTTTTTAAAAACGTTTAGAAACTGGTTTAGAAAGCAGAATGTTATTAAAATTTTGAATATTTTCCATACGTTATGAAGATATACAAAACAGATTTTGAGGAACGTCTCGTCTGACCTTAAGTACAGGATAAAAGGATTAAAGATATGTATGCTGTGTGAAACAGTTTTTTTTTTCACAGCTGAAACCAAATAAAAATTTCTGAAGTATGATAAGCTATCAAAAATGAAGCATTCTTGCAAATGTGACGAAATATTATTCGGTATTAACAAAGTACCGGTCGGGAAAAGAACACGATATTCTCATGACGTCGCGCACGGCGTCGGTGTAAAAAAGTTAATAATTAAGTATTACGGCGGCATATGCGCTATTTCCATAATTTTAAAACAATTCACTATATGAAAACTATATGTCATTCGGTCGGTTATTGTATACTAAATACATTTTAACAAAAATATTGATAAAAAAATTCCAATTATCAAATATATTAATGGGATTTAACCACTAAAGGTTTAATCTATTTGTCAAAGTGAAATAAATAATTGCGGTCTGGTCTGGTCGAAAATGCATCGGGTTCATTGGGCAATTTGTACGGTATTTATCAGTTCCTTTTATAGTTTGGGGATATTAGTAGCACCTAGCAAGGGAACTCTGACGTCACGGCATTTATTCGTCATCAGTCTGTGCCCAAACTTTTAGAGGTAAGGATGTTTGGAAAATACAAGAAGATTATTTGTAATTTTATGTCGGCTATTTCTTAGTATATTTACATGCATTGACTTACTAATACTTGGTAAAAGGCGATTTTATTATTTGTTCTTCTCGATGGGTGAATAAGCTGTCAATTTCTGTCAGATTGTATGATTCGAAATTATCTCGGTCAACTGCACAGGCCAGGCAGCATGCAGCACGTGGTTTTTCGTTAAAAAAAAACAATAATGTAGTAGGCCTATAAAAGGCAAGTACGAAAAGGGAGAGGATGGTGTAAAAATATTTAAAACATTGTTATGACATCATCTTTTGTTCTTTTAATACCTTCTTATCCTTGAAATAACAAAAACAATCCAATAAGTTACCTGTAACTGTCCAATAAGTTGGAAAAACTGTCCACTATTAAAAATAGTGGACACTTTTTTACAACTTATTGGACAGTTACAGGTAAGCACTAAGAAAAAATAACAACAAATCCAACACAAAAGATATACATGTTATTCATGAACAACGAATTACACACATTGTAATAATTATTCCAACTTTAGAATTTAATTAAATTTGAAAAATACACTTCCAGACGAAATTTCAATTTCACTAGCACCAGCTGGTGCACACACATTAGAATCACTTTCGGCTGCGGTTTTGGCTTTCTTGATAGCTACATCACACTGATTTTCACCGTGAATGATTTGCTCACTCTTTGCTGTTGTTCTTCATTTGTTCTTTTATACGATCTAACAGATGTCGAGCGGTGTCCAGTTTTCTCGGTTATTAACTGCTCATCAATGCCAGCATCGTAAAGGCGTTTTGCGGCGGTTGCTCTGAGGCTATGGTTTGTGTAGTGGCCAATAAATCCTGATATTTTACACAGTTTTGCGACGGTCTGTTGAAGAGTGTGTACTCCAACAGGGGAGTCGGCGTACCAAGTGGAATCTGTGGGGTACCGCAGAGGTCGCAAATAGAGAGCATTGGTTTTACCAGTCCAGGCGTTTAAAAGAAAATTGCATATTATAGATTAAAGTGTTTTAAATTAAGATATATGTTACAGCAATATTTTGGTGGAAATTAAACAGCAACAATATACTTGCCTTAAATGCAGATATTTTTCATACGTGAGCACAGGACATCTCTCGGGAACATTCTTGTTCTAGTATGCTCTGGTAACTTTAGGTTGCAGATTTTTGTGCTGGAGCCCACCGCGATTTGTTTTGGAGACATCCTCTCTATATTCGAGATATCGCAGTCCAGATGCATCCATGGAAAGAGAAATCTGACTGTTTGTCCCAACCCTCAAGTTTCTGTGTTCTTGTCCTGCTCGTAGTGCAAAATGTATTCCTTGTTGAAACAGTAGAGTATCGAGGAGTTTTTGAGGTGTATCTCTTCCTAAAACTCCCTTGGACCACATTTCATCTTCTTGAGCCTCAGTTATGATCTCTGCCCGTTTCCGCTCTATCCCCATGCCTCGCCCAGAGAGTTCTTTCATCTTTGAATCAAGAATACTGCGCATATCGTGAAATTTATCATCATCCAAAAAGTTTATGAATCTACCTTCATGTCGTAATTTGTGTTGAATTGCACACACAATTTCATACAAGCTATTGGGTCTGTAATCCTCTCCAGATTTATTCCTCACTTCAGCTAATAAGAAACTCATTGTTTTGTTGATTTCCTCATCACTCATTATCATAATATCCTGGTACATAAATGTATCATGGTTTGGTAACATACGCTTTCGTTCATTTTGCCAGTTCGGAAATAGAGTCATTGCCCACTTTGACTTTTGCTCTGTTTTCTTCGATAAACCTTTCTTAACCAAATTATCCAAATCTTCTTGATTGAGCCGTGCAAACCTTTCAATATTTTCTTTTCCTTCTATGTCTTGGGTGGCCTTAACAAGTTCCTCGTCAGAAATATCCGAAAAAATATCTACTTTGAGGTCAAAATTCGGTTGTTTTTTTGGATGTTCTCTTTCCAAATCCAAAATATCACTGAGAATGCCATCCGTGTTGTTTTCTTGTTCATCAACTTCTCTAAACTTGTTTTGTGTTAAAAACACGCTTTCTCCATCTGAAGAGGACATCCTAACCGCAGGGACATTTACTAAGAAGTGGTGTTCGATGTGCATGCTTTTTATACAAAACCAAGGAACTCACCTGTAACTGTCCACTAAGTTAACAATTGAAGTGAATCCTATTCACATTATTTAAATCAACAAATTTACCTGAGACAGTCTACTAAGAAGACAATGCCAAATTTAATACAAAGGATGTTTACTTCATTGACGTTGCAAGAGAGAAACTTTCTAGAGAGTCCATTCTGAACACAATGGAATGAAATGTTTTAAGTAGGTTACAAGCCTCAAACTGTCCATTCTGTTGAGAAAAAAAACTATTGTCGGGCCTAACGGCCCTCCAATAGTTCTTTCTTCTACAGAATGGACAGTTTTCGGCATGTAACCTTTACATATATACATATTGAAGTACATGTATACATATTTCATGTTTCGTTATTCTTTCGATAAAACGCCTAAAAGTGAAAGCGAGGCGAGGCAGATGATCGGAAAAGCTCTCTCTTTTTGATGTATCAGTGGAAAACGGTATAATTATGCTTTTGCCGTATAGGGAACAATAATCATAAAAGTAGTTGCAGATCTGTAGCTTCCGAAAATATGTATTGATAGACCGGTCTATCAATATATATTTTTTTCGGAGAGCTACAGATCTGCAGCTATAATAAAAGCAGCTTATAGAGTCAAAAGGGTTACATTATCAACGACACATGTAATACATACTAGAAAATACAGACGTAGGAAGGGGGTGTCGGCACTGAGTAGATAAAAAAACGAGGAAGGGGGTCCAGCTCCTAAGTGCTTATGGCTTAACATTGACAAACTCTGCTTATGAATATTGTGTGGCTACATGTCTTGACCCCATGTATCACCGGTAAAAATTAAAAGTATGTCAGTTAGACCTACTCTAAGAAACTCTAAGATCCGAACCTCAGTCTATCCCAAAGCACCGGTCCGTCGGGCAAACGTTAAAACCTTATTGGTCCGATGTACTGACTAGTAAAATCGGTCCGTTTGTACGAGATTTGTTTTGATCGGGTTTTAAATTATATATTTCCTATTTCACCATATAGATGCTTTAACTAATAACAAAACACATTATTAGAAACTTTTCGTTGATTGTGATTGTTTTTTTAAAACCTACTTCCGCCACGATGTCTCTAAAATATTTCGATGGATCAGTACCAGGAAAGGAAAAGAAACATTTCAATTAATCTTTTAATGTGTTGTCTGTTTTATTGATTCGTATGCTATGAAGTAACATCGATATGATCATCTGTGAAATTGTGTTAACTGTCTGTCCGAATGTACTGTGGCGATTTTTTTTTCGCGAAGACTGGCACCTTATAAACCCTGGGTGGGCAGCAACACAGTAATGACTGCAAACAAATTTTGACACTGGAGCAATAATCGAGGGAGCACCGAGAGGGCGATTTTATAAACTGAAAGATTGAAAGTCGTTTTTAGTCTACTCCTTGATTTCAGCTAAAGCTTCAGTATAGGCCGGTCAAATGTTTAGATATTAACTAGCTGGGAGAGGGTCTGTTTTAATCACAAGTTCATTGCTATTTTAAACATCAATTTTATCTAAGAAGACTAAGTAGCTTTTTTATTCATGTTTAGTGGCGATTTATATTTCCGACCCTTATGCTTTAATCCCACTTTGGGACGTGGAGACCGGTCCTTCGGATGGAACCGTATAAACCGAGGTCCGGTGCCACAGTAGGTCTTCCGTGCTGGCACGGAAAAGATCCCTCATTGCTTAATAGCTCTGAGTGACAAGTGTAGGATAAAATTCGTAGCTCTGCACAGGCTAGTCAGCCTAGTGGTGGCTTTTCCATATGAGTGAAAATTCTTGAAAGGAACATTAAACAGCATACAATCAATCAATCGATCTATATTTTAGTAATCAGTCCATTTGCTTAATTGGTTATAGCTTTAGATGGAACTACAAAGGAAAATCGCATGTGTCATCTGCAAGGAAAATGTGTAACTTGAGTATTCTTGAAATTTGGATGGGTGTTTTGTGGCACATGTATAGTTTGCAAGGAGTGAGTAGAAACTAAGCATAAAGTGTAGGGGAAAACTATCCCTTTCCAGTTTAAACGACTCATTTCCAGGGCACATTGGTTTTTTACAAGACCATATTTTAAAAGAATTCATGAAAGATTTTAATAATAATTCGGTAAACAGTCTATTACTATTTAGGTATCGCAGGACATGGAAATGGGAAGGACCGATATAGCTCATTTATCCCCCATCCTGGGATGCTTGTAATGTTTATATATGGGTATGTATATATTGCTAGATCATTTTTATGACCTGTCCAGCTTTCTAATTACGAAATTTTAGGTTAAATCTGCATTATTGTCTATAGAGCTAATATTTTTGAATAGAAAAATTGCTGCAAACTCACGCACTTTGCATTAGCTGATGCTTTGAGTGAGCAATTTATAGATCTCACTTTACTTGCTCTGTCGTTTTTTTTTTTATTGTGTTTTATTTGATTTATGAAAGTGAT